GCATAGATTCTGTGTGCTCCATCTGCATGTGCAATCTGCTTCTATATTTTCAGCCAGCTTGCATGGGCAGATTAATGTGTACAATTAGAAAGCAACCTCACAGGCATTCAATAAACTGCCTTCATTATTACACTCAAGAGAGTCCCTTTGGATGTCTATAAAAGCCTAGTTTTCTGCCTGTTAGCTAAATAATTGACAACGCTTAAAATAATCAGGAGCAAATGAACAAAACAAAGACAATTGTGGTGAAAAGAAGCAAACAAAGGATTCTCAAGGCTGCAAACGTTTTTTGTGTGAGTTCTCTTTCATTCTCTCTAGCAACCTATATTAAAAGTCTGGTCAGGTTTACATTTGTACTTCTGTGGGGAAAATCTGTTGCCAGCCTGCTGGTTGAACCACACATCATAGGGGACTGGAAACTGGCAAGGACACTAGTATTTATCCTGTAAAAGTAGATAAATAAATAAAAATTCTGTTCTGATTCAGGTTTTATTCTCTTGCATTTTATGACTTTTGAGAAAACTGCTTTGGCAGGCAAGTGTATATCAACTTGGTTTGCTGAACCTCCTGCATTGTGTTTGGAATATGCACTTACAGGCACTCTGGCAAATTCTGTTTCCAGCTCCAAATTCTGAGCAGAATATATTGAGTGTGCACATGTACTCAAACACAGCAGTGCCAAGAATTTTTACAGGAGTACAACCTTCACAAAAACAGAGGCATGAATATGTAACAAAGGGAAGGATGAAGAGACACAACAGTCATCATGTGCTATTAGAAAGTAACCCTATGTTCTAGACTGCTTTACCCATTAGATAAATAGGTAGATGACTATCAGATAAACAGTGGACCACATTCAACACAACAGTTTTTGGAAAGTAGAATACAAATGAAATAAAAGCATCTTACTAGAGATCTGGGCTTAAACTGTATGGCGAGATACCCTAGAGTTCAAACATGGATTCACATAGCTGCACAGCTGAGAAAAGCAAGTCGTGAGATACCCATCCTCATTACTGTTTAAATGACAATGTATTAACTAAAGATGGATGACCTGGAAAGTCCTTTTCTTTGTTTCCATTTGGAAAGATGGACAGTTAGTTCTTCCCTCACACAGATTAGCAATTGCAAATTATGGACTATACAAGCTTTAACTACCTTTTCATGTACCCTGACAGAAACACCATCAGGACCATAACACAAAATGCATCCAAGATATCATGACTCAGACTAAAGGACTTCATTTCATGGGTAAGTAGTTTCTGGTAGAAAGTCAACACATACACCCCATTTTCTAAATTTGGCATTTGCAGGAACAGAACCACAGCAACATTATCACCAACAAATCCCTCGGGTGTTTTTTCTCTATTAGCATAAACTGTAGCAATCACTTCCTAAATATGCAGCAACTTCTTCATCCCAAAGTTCAAAGAAGCTTACAAGGCTTTCAAAACATAGGAAATAACTGTATTCTGTAGACAGAAAAAAAAGTCGCAAACTGTTTTTATTTTTAGCACTTACTTCATGTTACACCCTCTGAAAAGGGATTTCAGTGAGAAGTTCTTGCTTCTAATAGTGACAAGAATTTAATCAGAAATACAAAATTCTAGACAGCATCATACTTTATTAGAGGATGTTAATGACATGAGAATCTTAAGTGCCTTTCCTTATCAAATGGAAGCGGCACTTCATGCAGGAGAGGTACTGATTGGGCTGTACCCCTTGGAGGCTGATATGGCTAGAGGTGGTGATCAATTTTAAAAGGTTTTCCAGCTAATGAAAGTGCTGGTAGGCATTGATCTCCTCAGGAAAATTGTGATGTTGCAGCTACAGATCTTATAGAGGACAGACTAACAAGGGAGCTTATCTTTTGAAATGTCTCTAAGGGCCATGACTTTGCAGAGGTCACTGCTTTATACGCAGCACATGACCTTCCTTCCTCCATCTCCCAGCAAGCAGAGGAGATCAAAATACTCTAGCAGAAACAGCAAGGAAAGGGGCACAACCTCACATTTATTCTCTTCGCCTCTAGACAAACGGTATTAGATGATGCAAGTAATGAGTCACTCATTTTTGCATAGTAGGTCTTTTTTTTGCATAGCATGCCTTTAAATACCAAGCATTTCTATGTGAACAGGCACTACTTCACAAAATCTGAAATGTCACACAGAATCTTTCCATTACTCCTAGATGCTGTGCTCCATAATGCAAATGTATCTCAGCAGTGCATCCTCAGCAACATCCAGTGGCACAGATGCCCCTTCCTCTGCTCACCAGATTCCTTCAGACCAGGGAAGACACTAGTGTCACTCTGTATGTTAGGGAATACACTCAGTGCAAGTAGCTCTGTGTGCAACTACAGTGCAAAGTTGCAGGTTGAGTTCTGGGGGCCAGGGGCCAGGAGCCCGAGCCCGAGGCAAGAGGCCATGAACTGCTGACATTTGCATGAAAAAGGGCAGGGGGACCTTTGGTTTGGCCAGAGTACCTGACACTTAGAGACACCACAGGAGCCAAGGACCCCCAGACTTCCCTGCCCCTAGACTGTGACCTTATGAAAACTCAGCAGTTCCTTTGTTCAGGGTCCCTCCTCAGAGACATCAGGTCAAGCTGGTATTTTGTTTTCTAGTTATTGCATCATGATTAAATTATTTTAAGGATCCGGACGTATGAGACAGTGCTATGGGAAGCCTGGGGTTGAGCTGGTAAGGAAACCTGGTCTGACTGTGTGAGTTGGGGAGTGTAGCTGTGAAGGTGCTTCGGTCCCAGCTCAGGTAGTGCAACAGTGACTGCCAGAGTAACTCCTGGATGGTTAGACAGGGAAGTTTCCTTAACACTGTACAGCATAGAAGGTTTCATGCCTAACCAAAATTGCATTCACTATACGTAGTTTTTCAGTTCACTTCCGCCAGGAGTAGTAGCTGCAGGGCCATTCTGTGTATGTTCAATACGTGGTACATACAAACAACGTTCTAATAGTTCAACATAATCTCAAGCAATGGAGTTCGACAGTCCATCTTTACCTTCAGTTTCATCAGTCAATTGGTTTCCAAAGATGAATGCTCCCAAGCCTTTCCTTAATCAGTGGACAGAACAGCTGCCAGCCAGTCTACTTCTCAGTGCCCAGGCAGTCAGAGCTCCTGCACGACTTGGGGACTACCTGACTGCCCACACAGAATCATTTAGGTTGGAAAAGACCTCTACGATCACCATGTCCAACTCTTAACCCAGCACTGACAAGTCCAGCACTAAATCATGTCCCTAAGCATGACATATACATGTCTTTTAAATTCCTCCAGGGGTGGTGACTCAATCACTTCTCTGGGGCAGCCTGTTCCAATGCTTGATCACCCTTTTGGTGAAGAAATTTTTCACTTGTGGCCATGCCCACTTTTCCTATGTTTCAGAGGGTTTGGGCTTGCTTTTGACAAAACCAAACTTACTTTTTATGGAAAAATCTCTGAACATTAGAATTCATTTCACTCTAACCAAAAAAAGGTACAGACAGAGAAGTGAGGGAAAGGAAGAGATATGTCTCTGTTCATAACTTAATATGCCTTAAGACAAAAAATTATATTAAATTAGAAGATAAAAGCCCCGACAATCCCCTTAGGAAGAGGCAAGGCCCGTAACTGAGGACCTTGTGCTGCAAAGACCTGATGTGTCTGTGGTTCATTTAGGCTCAAAGAGAATGAAAGTTTCTAGTCTGCCAGAAATAGGCAAAGATCTAAAGCTGTGCAGAGTCTTCAGAAATCCTGAGGAATCAAGGTGTGTTTGGGGAAATCCACACCAGGACAAACAGCAAGCAAAACACCAATATCTAGAGACAAATGCTGACAACGTATTAAAGGAAAGAGCTGTGCCTGAAGCCAAATGGGAAGAAACGAAAGGAAAATACAAGAAAGACTGAGACAAATGACAAAGCACTAAAATATCTATGCATTAGAGAACAGAGTCTGGGCAAATGATGAAGACACTGGAGCTACCAGCATGAGAAAAAAGTGACTCCCTTAAAGGTCACAGAGGAGAAAAAAAGCAATCAATCAGGCTAAACATACGGGTGAGTAATTTCAGAAGCCTAAGATAAAAAAGGTAAAGGTGACTAAACAGTACTGTGTGTTAATTATGTGATAGAATCAGTTTGGACCACTTAAAAATAAATAAATAGGGTGGAGTGAATGGGCAAGGCAGGAACTTCACTGCCAATGGAATTAATTATGTCAGGACTTAAACTGTATCTCAATCTGATATTAAGGAGGTATTTCTGGGAAACAGGTCTTCACAACAAATCTCTACCTTTAAGTATGCTAAATATAGGAAGTCCTCATTATTACCACGTGGGTTAGATTTCTTTACTAGTCAATAAAATAAATGGGTGGAGACATAACTTAGATCCTGTTTCAATAGCTAGTCTTGGATTGAATGATCACCTATTGATTCAGTTAGAGAAAGAAAGCAAGAAGTCATTCTATAATTCACAGCTTTCATTTCAAAGTGTTTGTTTTAAGAAGCTAAGAGAAGTCTACAGAATCAAATTTCTCATAGAATAAGGTATGGAGGAGGCTTGGAATATTTCACAGAATCATAAAATCTTCAAGGTTGGAAGGGACCTCTGGATGTCATCTTGTCCAACCCCCTGCTCAAACAGAGCCACCCCAAGACAGCTGCCCAGAACTTTTGAATACCTCCAAGGATGGAGAATCCACAACCACCCTGGATAACATGTGCTCATATTCAGTCACCCTCAGAGTAAAAAAGTGCTTCCTGATGTTCAGTAGGAATCTCCTGTGTGTCAGTTTGTACCTCTTGTCCTGAAATAAAACGTTTCAAGTCAAAAATTGAAAAAAATAGCAACAGAAGCCAAATCCCTCCTGAGCCCTGAATCAGGAAAAAAGAAGGCAAACAAATAAATAATATTAAATAATAATTAAAAACCCAAACAAACAAACAAGAAGGATAAACAGATGAGGAATTTTAGGTAATAATTTTCAAATTTTACTTACTAATTTTGATCTTCAAGGAACATCTCTCTTCTTTGCATTTCTTGTTGTCTTTTTTTAACTTCAAGTCTCTGTGCCTACAACATTAAAAACAGGAAACCTTATTTGAGGTTTCCAATAAACAAGAAACAAACATTGATTGTTTCAGTTCCAGTATTTCAATATTCTGGTCTTTAAAAGATCTATGGCAGCAGTTGGGTACAAGAGTGACCTAATCTCAAATTTAAAAGTAATCAGATATGACCAAACATCTCCTAGTCAGAAATCTATTTAAAGTAGAAAATGACATGGTGCTCCTAGTAGATCCATGCACCCAAAGGGCCTTGTAAGCCTTGACACTTCTCATATCACAACCATGCTGGGGGACCTCTCTTGGAACATTGGTCCTAGTAAGAAGGTAAAGGACCCGAATCACCACACCAAAGCAGATGATAATCCTGAAGCACTGACAATGCAGTGATATGAGTACGTGTAACTCATAGACCTGACCTTCAGGAGCATTAGGCTCTGACCATCTGAATACATGCTAAGATGGATGAAAGTGGGAGACATTGGTATTTAACCAGCATTATTCTGCCTCAGATACCATACCCACTGCAAGAGTCAACCAAATCCTTGACACACGCAACTCCTTTGAAAATCTGGATACCACAAATTATTAAGTCCTTTAATACAAAATTGCACATAATTTCCAGTGAAAGGATCATATAAGATGCCTAAGACTCAAATTCAAGTAGAATAAAACATTAAAATAAAAGCAAAAAGTAGAGAACTTGCTGCAACAGCAATATGTAGTTCAAGCTAAATTCCAGTCAAAAGAAGGCCAGCCAAATCTTTGTTTTGGCTTGCAGGCTGTAGTTAGGTCAAATGTGAAGAGCAGTCAAAAGGCAGATCAGTGTATTAAAAGCACAAATTAGAAGTTTCAACCTGAGATTTCAGCCTGCTTTATTTTGAGTACAAGCTCCCACACTGTAGTTGGGGGGGAGTTGCTGAAGAGTTCCCAGCCAAGGATCACGGCAACCTGCATGGAGCAAAATACAGATTTGGACTGTCACTCTGCCTGTCACTAACCCTCAAAATGAAAAAAAGTAATTGGTTGATAACCCAGCAACCAGCCATTCCTTTGAAAAAAGTGCCCTGGAAATTTCAGACAATACTTTGCAGAGATGAGAAGGGAGGTGTCGGTGAAAATGGCTTATTTGGCCAGAGCCCCAAATCAGGAAGAGGACACTCTACCTGGGCAGAGGTGGTGTTAAGAACAGGGCTGAAATCCCTACCTCTATAATCTTCTTCCTTTCCTGCAATCAAAAACATTTCAGAAAAATAACAATTCTACTGGCAGTTATTCAATTACTTTGCCTTCAGCGATTTCAGGATGGGTATTTTTTAATTGGGTAAAGAATGACTGTCTGGAAGAGATTTGCAAAACAAGTACAAATTCCTCCTTCACATGTATTGGATTAAGAAAAAAAAATCCTTTCAGATATTTGCAAATAGGAAAAGAGCCACTATGTTTTGTGACGATATAAACTGCTATGAGGCAAATGACTCAGAAGTTGTTATTTGGAAAAAGGCAGTGGAAAATTAAACAAAAGGAGGAAGCTGAATCTCTGAATAAGATGCCCTGTTGTTCAGTCATTTGACATGCAGAAACAGTGGTAGAATGTATGACGTACTGATGCAATTACAAAATGTAACCAAACTGCAGTAAGGAGCATGACTGCACAGTACAGGTAAACTTTGAGAGTGTTTAAGGAATAACTGTTTTATTCCTAACCACTCCACCCAGAGAGGGATGACTTTTTAGGCAAAAAGAACTCCCACACATTTGTGTAACTACAGTTTACAGGAAAAGAAAGGAAAGAGGTAGAAAGGAAATCTAATCTGGCTTCTATTATAGTCAAAGGTGATGCTGATACCCTCAAGACACCAGTCATAGCTTCCAGACTTTTCCCCAACACTGTCCAACACTGCAGGCTGACTCATTCACCTCTGAAAAAGCATTGGATGTGGGATCTGCCACCATATTGCAAGGCTCTTGAAAGTTCAAATCCAAAGCTCGTGGGAGCTGTTGTGGTCTAGCTCCTAGTTAGAAAACACAGTGATATTAACTTTGATAAATACAAACCTTCAGTATCATTGCTGTTTCCCACTAGAAAAAATAAACCCACGGAATATCCTACAGCTATTCTACCACCAGAATGGTACCTGAAAAAACCCCAAGCATCTTGAAATTACTCATTTGTGGCTGACATGATTATTTTTTACTCTGGAAGCTTACCCTGAGACCTCTGCTTAGGATGCATACAAGTGGCAGGCAACATGACTGGAACATTCTCTAACTAGCGGCAAACAGTAGACACTGCCAAAGCACTGTACATTTGGCAGCATCTTCAAAAACAAAGCCAACAGTGGAACAGCTGTGATACTGAAGGTAAACATGTTTAAAAATACTAGCAGAAGGTCTGTAAAGTGCCTGGTTTTAACAAATTCCTGAAAAAAAGGCCATTCATGCTGATTAACACAGTCAAATTAAAAAGTACACGTTTTGATAAAGAAAAAATGAAATTACAGCTTATACTAAATAAGAAAGTTTCTAAACATGACAGGACTATTTACTGTGTGAGGTAAGAGCAAAAAGTTGTGTGAGGTAAGAGCAAAAAGCTATATGAAGTAGAATTACACTGAACCTTCTCACTTCAAATTACTTCATTCTTTTAATATTCAGTCAAGACTTAGAGTATACAAGGAAAGGCCAAAGGCAGGGTAACAGCAACAGAAATTGAAAGACAGAAAATAGGAATACCTAGTGCATTGGAGTTATCCTATTTTATGTGCAGCACAAATTTCAAAAGTTTAAAAAACAAGAAGCCAAATCTCTCCCTCTTTCTTATTTTTGTGAGAACTTCGACAGTCCTTTCACCCAAAATACACAAAGGAAATTATGGTTTAGTCTGGTCAAAATCTGTGATGTGAAGAGCTACACAAAAGATACCAAACTGCAGATACCTACTACTAATGAGAAATTATAAAAGAACTACTTCCCATTTACTTCCACACTTTCTGCAGATCAGACATGCATCTCAGCACTGGGGACAAAAACAGAAATAGAGAACTTCCTGCTAACGCTACAAACTCTTTTTCAGATTATTTCAGTGAGCACTCAGAGATCACTATCTTAGAATATTCAAACTCATGCAGCCCATGGTCACCCCATGAACAAACCACAGCAGTCCCAGGGCATGGAGCTCTCATTGAGCATGTTGCAGACCCGGGTATCTGTTCACACAAACCGGTCCTGCGGAACACAGAATGAAGAATCTTCCTTCTCTCTGAGAGATGGAGAGACACAAGGTAGATGCCAAGTTCATTGGTATTCCAGCACCTAATAACCTCATAATTTATTAAAGAATGACAAAGACTGGCAAGTGGACTCCTACAGATGGTAAGGCAGACCTTCCACATTTGGATACTGCTTTGGCAGACACACAGTTTTCTCTGTTCACAAAGACAATGAGAAAGTGGGTGCTGTTTTTTCTGCAAAATCAGCATTAAAGTAGTAACATAAACAGATCATGGGTTCACAAGCAACACTGGCTGTTGGCGGAGGAGCTTCCAGAACAAACTGCACAAAAATCAATAAGATTTACGCAAATGTTCCGCTTTATTTACACAACCCGACCTCTTATATACTTTCACTGAATTCTTAGAATTAAGGAAGAACTGAGCTGAGTATCAGCACCCATTGTAGTCATAGCACATTAGTCTGTAGGGCTTCACCATTCATGTTTTTTGGCAAAGCAGCTTCCCAGCTGTGAAAGTTCCAGGGCTCCTGCTGATAAAGCTGGCTAGCTGTTATCTCCCTCCAGACTGTCAGACAATTTGGTCTTTATTGAATGAATACTAACCTTGAGCAAAAGAAGCACTGGCCAGCAAGAAAAATGGCCTGTGAATTTGCAGAAAGACATGCTCTCAGCCGACGCACTGCAGGTGCGGTTGAATACAAATCTATCACTTCAAATAAAAAGCTCTTTTCTTGTGATAACCAAAGCCCAACACTGGTCGTACAGCACCACTTCTCTAAGACCCCTCTCATCCTCAGCTCTTGGGAGCCTTTCATTTGCAGGCAGGGTGAGACAGACAAATTGAGACCTTGAAGTGGCTTTCCAGCACGCTCTTCTTAAAAACAAGGTTGAGTTTTTAACACACAGTCATCTTCCAAGAAGAAATGTTCATCAGCTCAGTTATTGTGGAAGACAATCTGAATAAACAACTTCAAATTAAGAGTCCCCCTTCATGCTTCTTTCTTTTGTTTGACTGCTTTTGGGTATATGTTTATTTAGTCAAATTAGACAGTCTGTTTGGTAAAGATGTTTGCCATTATGTTGCATTCTCCTTTAGAAGAAACTGATAGCTACAGTTTTACTATCTACAACATCTATAAAGATTTTATAATCTGTGGGAGTGAAGGTAAGGAAATTAAAGAGTATGAAAACAAAACTGATACATGAATATATATTTTACATATAACTAGAAATTATAAATAGCAGCCCTGTAACATTTTTCTTGCCCAATACCCATGGGCAAACACCATATATGAAATAATTAAACCTCTGTCTAACATTGCTATCATCATTCTATACCTTCTGGAACTATACGTGAGCTGGTAACCATTAATGACATTTTCCCCTGGTAGTATTTATTGCCCCTGTGAGCTATTGCATACAGGCTTATCCCCAAAGATTAATACTAACCACTGAAAGACTGAGAACAGACTAACCCTTACCTGGAGGCAATTACAGTTATTTTTGTTTATGCATGCCTTTGTACGCCAACCAGTATTGACTAGTTTTAATTAACTTTCAACATTCTGTTTCTGCACAGAAAATCATTTTTACTGTTGTGGAGACAAAACTTGCAAACCTGAAATCTCCCTTTCTCTTCCTGTTATTGTGGACATCTGTATTGTGTTTCCTCTCTTTTCTTTTTTCATTTAAATTCAATATTGCATTTTCGAGCACTATTTGACTGCCACCAAGGAGACACAAATGAACTTTTACAAAAGGTTTGCAGCACAAAGGATGAGAAGATGCTTTGTGAGAATAACTAGAAAAAGAAAACAAATGCAAAATCATAAAAGAAATTTTGGAAGTGAGCTATCATTGCTGTCAGTATATGGAGAATATTGGAAGGAAAAGTGCTCTGATATATTAGCAACACATCTGTGTGTGCAAGCCCCAGAGGGGCTGGAGGGCCATGTGCTCTCAGCACAATGCAGATGGTCTACACTGACCTTTTCATGATTTGGATGCCTTTTCCACCATAATAGGTCAGATTTTCTAGTATTCTAGTATTCTTCCCATGTCCACAAGCAATTATAGACTTCTATAAGTTCTTTGTGCCATCTGCCACAATCCAATCTTATAGGGAAATCTCATGTCAAAGTGAACCACATAACCTGCATACACAATGTTACTCCTGACCTCAGCGTTCTACCTTTCTGCTAACTCTTCAGGATGGATGCAACAGAAAGGCTGGAGTTCCTGAAGAGCCAAAGGAACACTCAAGCTCCAAAGAACACCAGGTCACACATCCCTTAGTCAGCTACAGAGAGGTTAAGGACTGGATTTCCTAATTCCTTGATGCCATCTGGGGTTACCATTTAATTTAATTAGCCTGTTCCATGTAGTTCAGCAAAATCAAGCATCAAGACATGAACTCTTATATGGCTATAACCGCAGTAACCAGGTTTACCTTTTCTCTCTGAATTGTTTTCTTTTTCAGGATTTCAGCTTCTTCAGCTGCCTTTTTTGCTTTTATATATTCTTCTCTCTTGTGCTGCATAACATAAGCATACAAAATTATTTTACATATGTATTTATACAAGGAATGCATAAGGTAACCTGATTCCTGTAATGTATATCTTTCAAATCTAAAGTGTGTTTGGGGAAAGTTTCCAAAATTTTTTCCGTAAAATGAGACACTAAATAATGCAGCTACTCCAATACTGGCTTTAAGAAGGCTGAGAAATCTAGGACTGATAAATGGGCATCCATGCAAGGAATCACACAGCTGATTGATAACTTACAAGCATTTATACATCTTATAACAGGAACAACATTTCCACATAAGTACAGGTTAGGGTGGTACATTGATCAATTAGTTGAAGTGCAGGTAGCATGCCAAAAGATACAACAAGGCATATAAGTGGCTTTACAACTGTACTGGTTATAATTTTCTATATCATCTGTGATACAGATTGCTACATATTTATCGACAGATTTCTTATTTTCTTTTGTGCAGAACATTTGTTTCTGATTTCCTGCTGCTTCCTTCAGGTTTCATTACTTTCTTCTGCCAAGCAACTCTGAGTTCTTTTTATAGTCGTATGAAAGACTTCATGAAAAGCTTTCTTTTGAATTCTAAAAATAAACAAAAAAATTTATTCTTACCAACCTTTTGCTGGTATTTAGATTGCATGAGCATCATTTGCTGTTTTTGCCTTGCTTGAGCCTCTGATTCCTTTCCACCTTAAAAAAACCACAAACATAAAAAGTGCATTTTTTATGAACATTTTAACTGCAAATACCAGTCATTTTGGAACACTGCAATATAACAGACTGCATGTATGCATATACAGGAAATTTTTCATAATTACAGTAGCTGTCTGATATTAAAGAGAACAGATAGGAGACCTTTTTGATAATTTTATTCATCCATCAAAAGCACTTGCTTATTATTTACAGATCATCCACTCTACCAACAAATATGTCCCTACAGTATATAATCAGTTTACTGAGGAACTATTCCATTTTCAGAAAATCAGTCAAGCTTTGCAGGTGAGTTTTCATTTTCAGATCCAACTATCCACACCTTTGCTCAGTTTGTCACACACATACAGAGTCAGAAATTCTATCACCAGAAAGTTTATCTTTTATCAAAGTTAGGATCTTGGACTCTGCCAGCTCTAATGGGATGCTATCACTGTAATATTTTCTGACTAATGTTTTGGCACTAGAAGAAGAATCCCCTTTCTGAAATGGAAGTCAAGGCCTTCTCTCACACACCTCACATTCATATCCAGGTAGCAGAAGGTGTCCTTATTCAAAGGTATGGCCTCTCTTTTGAGAACATCTGAAGCTCTGGCCATGATGTTCAGCAATAAAAAAACAACTCACAAAACAAAACAAACAGAAAAACCAACCACATAAAAAACTTGATACTAGGGCTTAAGGGATGGAGGACTTTGATTTTATTATTCTGCTCTACTATTTTTCAAAGTATTTTCTTGCTTTGGGAGAGCAAATAATTCATTCCATCAGTTGTCACAAAAATCAACGGCAGCTCTTACTCCATTCAGAGGATAGGGGCTGTATTTTCCTCTGCTGTTTAAATGAGAAATTCTCCTCTATGTGCCTCCTAATTCTACAGAAGCAGTTGTACCAATCTGTGCAACCTGAGGTGCCTGAAATCCTGGGCTGCATCAGAAGCAGCACGGCCAGCAGGTCAAGGGAGGTGATTCTGCCCCTCTGCTCCACTCTTGTGAGACCCCATTTGGAGTGTTGCGTCCAGCCCTGGAATCCCCAGTATAAGAAGGACATGAACCTGCTGGAGTGAGTCCATAGGAGGGCCTTGAAGATGGTCAGAGGGCTGGAGCACCTCTCCTATGAAGACAGGCTGAGAGAGTTGGGGTTGTTAAGCCTGGAGAAGAGAAGGCTCCAGGGGGACCTCCTAGAAGCCTTTTAGTACCTTAAGGGTACTAAAAAGGAAGCTAGAGAGGGAATTTTTGCAAGGGCATGTAGTGATAGGACAAGGAGGAGTGGCTTTAAACCAAAAGGAGAGCGATTTAGATTAAATATAATGAAGATCTTTTTCACAGGTTGCCCAGAGAAGTTGTGGATGTTCAACCCCTGGTGGTGTTTGAGGCCAGGCTGGACAGGGCTTTGAGTAACCTGGTCTAGTGGGTGGCATCACTGCCCACTGGCACTGGCAGGGGGGGTGGAACTATATTTTATTTAAGGTTCTTTCAGACCCAAGCCATTCTATGAAATGTAAGACAAATACACTAGATCTTTCAGAAGGAATCACTCTTTTCTAAAGCTAGCTTTCTCCACTTACTAATGGAAGGTAACTAATCTTTAGATGCTTTTGTGAGGTTCAGTGAATGGGAGATCAATTCCCTAAGTGTGGCAACATTTCTACACACAGAAATAAATCTGTAGGATAAGTTCTCAAAAAAAGACTGGCCATGCAGCATACAGGCAACAAGCTCTGAGTAGCAATAAGCATACAGCTAGTATTGAGTGGAGTGACTCCTTCACAGGTCTAGAAAATAAAATGGCTATTAAACGAGTTTTTAAACCTTTTGGATGCTTAATCTCTCTTTTCTAGCCTTTTATTGGCAACATTTCTTGTGTGCACTGTACCTTCTTTACATGTAGTGATGAGCATCATCTCTAAAGAAATATTTTTCTGATCATTATTAGCTACAGCCTATAGCCTTTCAACCAGGTTTAATTCATACAAGGCTTGGCTGCAATGTGTCAAATGTTTTGCTGAAGTCAGAGTATGTAGTGACTGGTTGTATATGATATGATCAAAAAAGTGACCATTGCATTTATCAGGCATGAATTGTTCCCTCACTCATTGCTTATGGAGGAGGGTAGAACTTGCATCCTTCGTTGCTCTAATCTCTCCATGGTGTTTGAAAGTTTGCCAGTCAAATATTACAGAGATTAAATCCAGAATACTTATTTCCCTACGGAAAGCACGAGTGTTAAGAAACTTCAAGAATTCTCTGGTGATTTGGACTAGATGTGTAAGCTCTTAAAATCACTCTGAGAAAACAACACATGATACTTTTTTACCTTAATGAGTTCCTACAGTGGTGAAATTAGAGATGCCACTTATATTTTTTTTCCTTCCTTGAGCTCTCTTCAGCTCCAAATTTGTTCCTGTGGGAATGATAAGATCTAATAATCTTTGCACGTTATTTCTTTTCAGAGGTACTGAACATAGTGCCTGTGTCTCAGTCTCCAGGAGTCTAAGTTGCAGCTAGACAATGACTGAAGGGATTATATTTTCTTAATTTTTTTCCCCCTCCTAATTTTCTTCTTCCTCAAGAAAGTCTTAAAATCCTATAGGGCCAGAAGAAAGTAAGACTCCCCCCAACCAGTCACTGCAGCTTTGGCACCACATCCTCAGTCATGCAGCCAGCCCCACACATTCTGCATAGACACCATACATCAAATTTCTGTTTTCAGATTTCACTTCCTTCAGAAAAAAAGCTTTGTGATTCTTTTGTGACAGAAGCATGTCTTCTAGGAACTGCTTACAAGCAAGAAGCAGATATTACGCATGAATTCACAAAGACCATGTCTGGCCACGTGACTGCACGTGATGGTAGGAATACAGGGCATTACCACCACTGCAAACTGACTCAGGCTGCACGGCAGAATATATGGTACCAGTCACCTTAATCTAAAAACCAAGTCTGGGTTGGAGTCAGTTCAAAGTCCTCTATCTTTCACCTGCTATCTATTTTTATACACATTATCCCACTGCAAACTTATCATGTGTAGTATGGCAAAGGAAGAACTTAATTTGCAGGTCAAGGCAGCCAGTAGCCTGCACCGTGCACCCCAAATTCTCCTATGATAGCCAAAAGAAGGAAGGGCAACAGTAGGTTTACAAAACTAATAAAGGCATCGTTATAATAATTCAATTTGCTAGAATTAATTTTGCCTGACTTTTATTGGTCAGTTTCTCAAGGTCATCCCATCATGTTCTATACAGATGAAGCTTTAAAGTTGTCTTGTCAGCAAGTTTCATCAGCTCTGTCCTAGTTTTTGTGCCAAAGACATTAAAGAAAGATACTGAAAAAAGATAGGTCTGAAGACTGGTACTTGAAAAACACTTCTAATAACATTCCTCTTGCCTCAGCACAATCTTCAGTTCTATTCTCTGAACAAGATTTGTTTTGGGTTGAGTTGCTTTGTTTTTGTCTTCTAATTCTTTTTTAAAGTAACTCTGAAATATGACTAAATTAAATATTTTATAGTGGTTGCAACAGCAGAGATCTCCTACAGTTTCTCTCACCTGTCTAGAAAAGATGTTGATTATCTTTGGAAACACATCAGCTCAGTTCATAGTGACTTCAGTTCTTGTAGCTTTCTATCCTGTTTTTCATTTACTTATCTTTGTTGTTATCTTTATAAAATTGCTAATACAGGGCTTCATGTACATTTAGCCTGCAAATGCTGAAGTTTCAGGTATCACTCTTGCCTCTTCTAAGAGCCAGCAGTCATGAAAGCACACATATTAGCCCCTAACACAGAGGAGTTTTCTTATGGGTAACTGGAGGGTCTCCAATACTTGCTGTCCATCTTCATACTAATGGCAAATGTGTGCAGAGATATCAACCAAAGACAGTGTCAACAGCAGGAGGGATAATCCACTTGTTTTACCCATTGTTAGTGCAGATTTTCTACTCTGATCTCAACAGATTTCTTGAGTGACAATCTATGCTGTTTTGTTTCAGAAACACCTTCATTGCCATGACCATCAAGAAACACAGACCACCTACAGTAGGCTCCTGTTAGCCCTTATTGATACTGAATCTCTTTAATAAGTAACATAAGAGAAAAAGTGAAAAATGCCTCATGTTCTGGAAAACACAATTTTGCAATTTGCAAATGCTGATTCACATCTTACCCAGTCTCTGCGGAACCAACATAATCGGCCCTGGCCTGTGGTCTTCCTTCCACCGCTCCAGGTCATCTAGCTCTTTCTTAGCAACTGAGAAGGCATAAAAAGAAACAAATATTTGGAAGTTAGAGAGAATACTAAAAAGCATGCAGTATTGCTAATTGCACGTGATCCTGAAGACCATCCAGGAACAAACTTGTTCTCAAGGGGTGCAGCCACCCCTCAAGACGTTACTCAGTCACTGCAACGATCAGCTAACAAGGCAAATGTTTTCCCTAACTCAAGACTCTAATGGTGAGCAAACCCTAGGACTCAACCTCAAAAGCAAAACGAAAAACAGCTAAGGGACTGCTAATAGGCTGCCTTTTAACCTCTGGGAACTCGTAGGTAAATGCCACAGTATTTAGTCCTGCAGGTAAAGCAGAAGTTGCTACAATTAAGATGTTACTGCTGCATGGAGGGAAATGCTTATGGGTATAATGCTCCCCAGCAGGGAAATGAAAAGCAATTTTCCCTCCCAACCACATGCTCTCTTAATAAAAGCAAGGGGAATGTATGAATCAGGTTCAGATTAAGACACTTCAGCACAGGTGTCCACATGTGAGATGGGCAGCAGTTTCCTAGTGCAGTCAGAGGAAGGCAACACAGCCAGTGTGCCAGCCATATGCCCTAGGATGGCTGGTTGATTTAAGTTCTCTCTTTACCAACTGCCAGAGGAAGAAAAACAACAATTCCTTCCAATAGCAAGTCCAACAAAACCTGTGTTTTACATTATCACTTCAGTTACTCTAGGAGCTCATTTCTTTATTATTAACCATATTTCCTAATGGTTGGCTATGGCTATCAGACACTAAGTCTCCTCTAAGAGGATAACGCCAGCACACGAGCAAGTTTCTAAAGAGACCCAAAAGAGACATCAGCTTTTTATTTCACCTTTAAAGCAAGCATTTAGGTAGAGACTGCATCCAATTAGGTCCTATTTCTGCCAGTATCCAAAACGTAAATACTTGGCATGCTTCAGATCTTACATGCTGCTGGCACAAAGTGAAACTAGATCTTTATTAGAGCAGCAGCACCTTTGCTGTTAATGTCACAGTCAGGTTTAAGATGATCTGCTGCAATTCATCCTTCCAGAAGATTATGGTTTGGTTCAGGATAAGACAGTTTTCTCTCTTGCAACCAAAGGAAGCACAACCCATAAGCCATATTAGCCTGCTGGTGAAGTATTTCAGCCAAACTCACGAAGTTTGAGAAGGATTTAATTGCACTGTTTCCTTGAGGGTTCAAGACATGAGAAGTGCTGACTTGCACTCCTTCACCTTTCTTATCTTGCATAAATCAATGGCCAGGACTTTAGGACTGCAGGACTGCAGTGCTCAGTCACCTCTGCATACAGAATTTATTTCACAACTGAATCTGGCTGTAACTTTGCAAAAGAAAGATCTCTCTGGTAGAGGTTCAGGGTGTTCCCGCTTAGATACTTTCACCTGCAAGGCTCAAAGCCAACAAAAAGTCAGTGTAGATATACAGATACTCTCCATCTAAAATGACCTTTACCAGCTTCAATAAAAAGGCCACCTACAATCCTGAAATGCAGACTGAAGAACCAACAGTGGCTGTAGTTATTTTTTTTTCCACGTGGGAGTATTTAAAAAATATTTCTTATCTACATTTTTTTCTCCTTCCTACTGACTCAGAAACTGTTCAAAGTTGAGCTCTCCGATATGAATTCAGTCCTGTAAAAGCTGGATAGAGCTAATTCCAGCAATTTTGTAGAAGCCATCTTGAGCAGCTCCAGCACTGAAATTACCAAAACCCTTCTCCTGAACAAGATTTATTCTGCATGAAGTGTAGCCAGATGAGGAGCTTTTCTTCAGAAAAGCTACATGAGGATGGAGAATGCTCATAGCACTGACTTTACTGTCACAGCTGCACATATAAAACCATTGTAAAAATGAGGATAAAAGTTGCAAGAGCAATAAAATGCACAAACCCCCAAAGTTATTCAAGTAGAAGTAATGTATTACCATATTAGACAATTCAACTTACTTTGCTGCAACTTTTTTCTTCTGGTTTCTTTTGGAGTTACCAAGACATATGGGCTGATGCTAAAATGAAAGAAAACACTCTTATTTTTCCTGTTTATGCAAAACCAGGACGAGAAGGGAGTGCCTTTATCAACAAAGTCAGTTTTCTGCTGTCTTATCAAAAAACTTCATAAAAAAGCTAGTATTTATTCTGATTCATCTTTTCAGGAATTTTTGGTAAATACTCCAGAAATACTTGTTATATTTGAAGCTGGCAGCAGATACCAAGGATACCACTTTCAGAAACTTATAGCATAGTCTTTGCTGTTCTTATTAAAGACTCACTCTAGACTGCTGACCTCAAATCTCATGCATTTTGAATCAAATCCATTCCTTGAATCTAAATGTTCCATGTGGAACACCACTGTCTACTGGGAAGAGCCCTGGTGCTGACAGTCCCACCCCATACCTTGAGGGCACCAAGCACCTTGTGGATTTAAGCAGTGTGCCCCAAAGTTGTCCAAGGAGTGTGCAAAGTCATAGTTTTGTGATGGACCCAGGTGACTTACTCTCAGACTGAGCCTCAGTTTCTTTGTCAACCTAACATTTTCAGGGACCAGGAACTCCTTGGGCATATTCATCTTGCTGTCATGCCTAAGGTGCGACTTACTGAATCAGGACAAGGGCCCTGTTTTGCTGAACTTGATTCAAAATGCAGTAGCTGTCTCAAGGAGTTATCAGTCTAACGTGAGAGGTAAGACAGGGTTCAGAGTGTATTAAGAGAGTCGAGGTGATCAAAAGAGTGATGAAAACATGTCAGCTCCATGTCCTCAGATGACAAAGGGTTTTATCTGCATGGTGTATTGTGTGGGTAGTTTACATGGCTCCTGCTCAGCAGAAGCTGTGCCATGGGGATGCAGGTTTACCAGAAATGCACTAAGCAGCAGTTGGCCCCATGTATCAGAGTAAACTCACATCTCTCTTGGCAGGGTTTTATATGCACACATGGGCACAGATTTTTCATCTGGCTTCACTGTAGCGAAAGCACAAAGAGAAGAGCAGCCAAAAAAGAATAGTGAGGGGTGATGTCTGAGGCTGTTAAGGAAGGGCCACAGGGGGTGGCTAGAGGACAAGTTAGGAAGCAGGAAAAGTACAGTTGGCTGAGGAAAAGTAATGAAACAATGAGGTCCAAGACTAAGGCTTAAAAGGGAAATGAAAATCACGCAGAGAGATCAAAGTGCCAAAAGCTGCCTGCTGCCATATCAGTGTAACTCAGGGTTTGGGAAGGAGAGTATTTATATCCAATTACCTCTTTCTCTTTGAAGACTTATTCTAGGAGGATGTGAATTAATTTATGAGATTAAACTAGTAAAGATAGAGCTGTGAGCTTTAATGGTGCCATTTAATATGATCCTTTCCCTTCCTACCAGCATACTCTGGTGCCCCTGAGACTGTGAGACTGTTCTTCACCTCTCCAGTGAATTCCAGACCCTCAAAGGCAGGAGCTAAGAGAGCAGCAATGCTCCATTGGCATTCATCACACAGCTGCAACCATTACTTAAAAGAAGCTTTGACAACACATCTCACTTATGGCAGAACATTCCCATCAGTGATGTTGCTTCAGATTTTTCTTTATTTGAGTGAGTAGTAGCATTTACAATTTATCCCAAAGTGCCTTTAACAAGCTGTTGCACAATTTATCTGGTTCGAGTTTTTTTAGTAGCTTTTGTTGTTGTTTCAGATATTAAGATCATATTTCTCTCAAGTTAATACACAAAAATTAAGTACCTTTTACACTCCCATCCCTTTGGCAGTGATAAAAAAGGCTGAAATTTTGGGTTGCAAGGCTACATATTTTCCCCTCCTAGAAATCAATCAGTGCATCTCAGACATCACATTGTTTCACAGCACTAGAGGGCAGAAGAATTTTTATACCATGTACTTTGATGACTTGAAACAGTGTTTGTTTAGTTGATTTGCTTTAAATTAGACTCAAGTTTAAAAGAAAGCAGGGATCTCTTCTTGTCTGAACATATGTGAGAAATCACTGTATCAAATCCTGCCCTTATGCCATGAATAATTTCCTTTATCTGCTACTGCTTTTTCCTTGGAAAGCTCAGAGTCCAGGAGGCCAGGTGGGGGCACTCTTCTGATATCTGACCATGAACTCACCCTCAGAAATTCAGAAGGACTATACATAAAATACAGCAAAGATCAATCAGTTTGCAAAAGGGGTACAGGTGACACTACATTTATCATCTGTTTTCCGAAGAGCAGATTACGAGTCATTGTTGTTAAATGAGTGCTTAATTTAAGATCAAATTGGTTTCTATGTTATTGAATAAAGTAAAAGTAAAATAAAATGAGGATGCCAAGTGTCCAGTGGGGTCAGAAAGGGAGAACAGGATACCAACTTTTGCTTGTCTTTTACCTAATGCTTATACTATATGCTTTGCTTTTATACTGCATGCTTTGTTTTAGTCCCAGTTATAAGAAAGGAAAACAATGGGGAAAAAATATTATTGAGTTTATCTAATTTTATAATGTTCATCTTGGTCTCTGGAAAGATATATCAGAGTGTAGCTTTGGTTACTAGGATTACAAATGGGCTAAGCTAAAGGAGGGGACGTTTAGATTAGATATTACAAAGAAATTCTTTGCTGTAAGGGTGGCGAGGCATCAGAACAGGTCGCCCTGAGATGCTGTGGATTCCCCATCCCTGGAGATGTTTAAGGCCAGGCTAGACGAGGCTCTGAATAGCCTGGTCTAGTGGAAGGATCCCTGCCCATGGCAGGGGGATTGGAACTAAATGATATTTATTGTCCTTTCCAACACAAACCATTCTATGATCCCATGATAAGAAGAAAGGGAGAGCAAGTACACAGTAAACTTCTTGTGCAATGGGTGAAAATCAGGGTATGAGATGGTCCTTGATCCTACATCAGGAGATGAGCCAGAGGAACTGTTACCTGAGAGACTCCATGTGCCCTACCAGTTCTAAAATCCACACCTAGCATCCTTTATTTTCTTGAGGGTTTTTTTTGAAGGAAAGAAAGTTAATTCAAAACCCCACCACCAGCTTTTACCTCATGTTTTTATCCAGTTTGCAGGATATTGCATGTCATTTCTTTGTTCAGGCAAAACCTCTGATCCAGTAAAGCCTATAAAATCCGCTACAGCCTGCCAATTTAATATTCTAGTCAGTTTCTGGGTTGCCACAGTAGCCATAAGTCTGGAGCAAATTATTCTACTTACCTGAGTAGCAATTAAGGAAATGTGAAGATTTGAAGCTATCAGTTGGACACAGACTTTTTGTGCTTTATACCAATATAGGAAGCGCTTCAAAATCCTCAGCCAGAAAGATTATAAAGAATTTAACTTTACTGTTTCCCTAATAATGATTCTAATTGTTATAAGACTTAAGCCTATCTTTGAGATAGGATTGTTTTATAAATACAAATCCCGAAGTCACTGGAAGAGGTGGGAAGGACATCTTAACCTGGTTATAGCTCTTCAAAAGAGAAAAACAGATCATCTTCTACCTTTATAGAACATATTAACCTTGAAGGGAATTTTCTATTATATTTTCTCCACAGAAAATGGGAATGTATTGACTCATTGCACAGACTCAACAGATATTAATGAGAGTGAGAAAGTTATAAACCAATAAAAGAATGTATCTATAATGGAAAAAACCAACCAAACAAGTAGGAACCTTCTATGATTTTTCAAACAGACAGACAGGTAGTGGGACTATAAATACCCATATTACAACATATTGTTGTGATCTAACCCCAGCCAGCAACGAAGCACCACAGAGCTGCTCAGTCACTCCCCCCTGGTGGAACGGGAGCGAGAATTAGAAGGGTTAAAGTGAAAAAAGTCGTGGGTTGAGATAAAACAGTTTAATAGGTAAAGCAAAAGCTGTGTGCACAAGTAAAGCAGAACAAAGAATTTATTCACCGCTTCCCATGGACACGTAATGTGCGACTTGGGAAGACAAATGCCATCACTCCAAATGTTTCCCCCCTTCCTTCTTCCTCCCCCAGCTTTATATACTGAGCATGATGCCATATATTATGGGATATTAGTTTGGTCAGTTGGGGTCAGCTGTCCCAACTTTGTCCCCTGACAACTTCCCATGCACCCTGAGTCCACTCACTGGTGGAGTGGGGTGAGAAACAGAAAAGGCCCTGACGCTGTGTCAGCACTGCTCAGCAATAATGAAAACATCCCTGTGTTATCAACACTATGTTGGTCACAAATCCAAACCATGGCCCCATAGCAGCCACTGTGAAGAAAATAAACTCTAGTCCAACCAAACCCAGTACATATATTTAGAGGTATATGTCAGGAGAAACATGCAATACAGTCATAAAAAATTTGCAATGATAGTTTACAATATCAGTGATCAACAACACAAGAAGCACCATGCCCCCAAACCTAAATTCTGAATCCTGTGAGCGAGTTTACTTATCTAACTAGCACCACTCAAGGACACCCTCTCAATGCTTTTGGGGCATTGACCATACAAACTTTTGTTTTACTTTCTTCAAAGGTTTGTATAACATAGTTTATTTCTAAAATTGAAAAACTTGAAAAATTGAGAACTGTGGTTCACCAGTAATATTTTTTGTAGAGCCATGCTCTTCAGTTTTTTCTCAAGTCCACTCCAGCCATCTACCACTGGAGAGCTTTCCAAATGAAGTGTGAAATAGTTTAAAGAGTTACAAAAGTAATGGCTGTTATAAACTATTTCCAATTCTGCTGTGTTTTATACTGCAGGTGCATTGATACATGAATGCCACAGACCTTAAAGCTAAATATCTTGCTCTGCTAGGCAAAGTGCTCTGTGTAAGAGAATGTAGAAGCCGAGAATGTAGTTGGAGAGCAACACAAATGACTAAAGCTTGGGAAGAAGACCAAGACAGATTGAGTCTAGAGGAGGGAGTCAAGGGAAGATATGGGTGAAATACTGCATTAAATAGTATGTTAAGACCGAATTTAAAATGGAAAAGAGACCAAACTCCAAAGACAACTGTCGCATTTCCTTCAAAGGTATGCTAAGCTGATTTTTGCAT